TGACACCCTCCTTTGGTATTCTTTCACGATATTCATTTATGCAGCAATCGTGGCTATGGTCGTCCTTGCATGTGTTACTACTCCTCTGTATCAGAAGGAGTACCAAGAGCAACATCAGTTCAGTATTAGGAATTGGTACATCTGGACAGACATGGCTTTTGCGATTGTGTTTACTGTCGAAGCTGCGATCAAGATCATTGCGGACGGACTCCTGTGGACCCCGAATGCATACTTGCGAAGTTCCTGGGGATTCATGGATTCAGTCGTTTTGGTCACTCTGTGGATCAATGTTGTTACGCTCCTCATCAATGACGGCGCTATTTCCAGAGCAATAGGCGCATTCAAGGCGCTCCGTGCACTTCGACTGCTGAATGTTAGCAACAGCGCCAGAAACACCTTTCACGATCTCATTATCGTTGGTTGGTGGAAAATCCTAGGCGTGAGTTGCCATCTCCTCACCTGTAGCCGTGTTCCTCGCTAATTGCTTCCTTAGGCCGCGTTTGTCTCGATGTCTCTGCTCATTCCGTTTGCCATTTATGGTCTCAACCTATTCAATGGCTTACTTTTGTCTTGTAATGACGGTGGCGACGGAATTAATACCATGGATAACTGCTATGGCGAGTTCGAGAGCACACCGTTTAGCGACGACTGGCCAATGCTCGCCCCTCGTGTTGCAGCGAACCCCTTCTTCAGCTTCGACGATTTTGGGGCATCCTTGTTTATTCTTTTCCAGATTGTTAGTCAAGAGGGATGGACAGACGTCTCTTTTGCTGTTCAAGCCATTACCGGCCGCATGAAGCAGCCCCAAGACCTAGCGTCAGAGGGCAACGCCATCTTCCTCGTCGTATTCAATCTGTTGGCCACCGTCTTTGTACTCACTCTCTTTATCTCTGTTTTTATGCGGAATTATACCGAACAAACAGGTGTCGCTTATTTGACGGCGGAACAACGGTCATGGCTCGAATTACGAAAGATTCTCAGACAAATTTCACCTTCAAAGAGTTCTTACGATGATTCTGAGAAGAGCTGGAAGAAATGGTGCCACAAGAGAGCTATCGAGAAGAAGGGTAAGTGGTATCAAACAATTACCGTTGTTCTAGTACTACATTTGATCGTGCTTGTGTCGGAGTTCGCCAGTGAGCCATGGTGGTGGACAAGATATCGCGACTTTGTTTTCTTCGCCTTCATCGTTGCATACACGGCTAACATTGCAATTCGTATCATTGGCTTGGGCTGGGTACGTTTCCGACGAAGCTCATGGGATCTCTACTCTCTGTTCATTGTCTTCGGTGCATTTGTTTCAACTCTCGCGTTACTCATATCAGACACTGAGGTTGAAACCTATGTTCAGCTACATAAGGTGTTCTTGGTCGCCATTGTACTCCTCCTCATTCCCCGCAACGACGCGCTGGACCAGCTGTTCAAAACGGCCGCTGCTAGTCTGACAGTTATTGGTAACTTGCTTGCCACCTGGCTGGTATTCTTCCTGGTCTTCGCGATTGCTATGACTCAAGCTTTTAGTTTGACACGATTCGGCGAAGAGACTGCGGAAAACATAAATTTCCGAACCGTTCCCAAAGCCCTGATTCTGCTATTCAGAATGAGTCTGGGTGAAGGATGGAATGCTGTCATGGAAGATTATGCCAGCATAGAGCCGCCACTTTGCGTTGACGAGCCTAGATTCTTCGACAGTGACTGTGGTAGCGAATCGTGGGCCAGAATCCTGTTTATCGCATGGAACATCGTCAGTATGTATATCTTTGTGAACCTGTTTGTATCACTCATCTACGAGAGCTTCAGTTATGTCTTTCAACGCTCGAGTGGCATGGCTGTTGTTGATCGCGATGAGATTCGACGGTTCAAAGAAGCTTGGCGAAGCGTTGACCCAGCAGGCACTGGGTATATCACCAAGGCAGCTTTTCCCCGTCTTCTTGGCGAGCTTTCAGGCGTCTTTCAGATGCGCATTTATGATCCGGAGGACAGTGTTCACTCTATTTTGGAAGATATAAGGGATGATGTGAAACTCACACATCACTCGTCCATCGCGACAACCAGCGGATTCAGTGGCATTGACCTGAACAAACTCAATGCACGGTTGAGGAGGATTGACGTGGAGAAGGTGCGCCACCAGCGTCGGCGCTTTAACATTTTTTACGAGGAGGTCTTGGTGTCCGCAGATCCTGACAGGGGCATCTCTTTTACGAGTGTCTTGATGATTCTTGCTCATTATAACATCATCAGTGATAACAAGAGCCTGAAGTAAGCTATCCCACCCGCCGCAAATCTATTCACCAAGGCTGACAAAAAAAACACAAAGACTCGAAGAGTTCCTAAGGCGTCGAGCCCGTCTCCAGCGAGTAGACGACCAAGTCCGACGTGGCGTAGTATTGGGCTTCTTCGACACATTGTAAGCTATCTATAGCCGAACCCAGGAAAAGAGAATTGCTCACCATCAACACAGATATTATTCAAGACAATTCAAGAAACACATGCTACGAAAGCACTCGGCCCGCATGACGGCAGTGCCACAGCTGAACATTCCGGAGATTCTTGTTGAGAACGATCTGAGCGACGATGAAACAGGTGGAGCAGGGCCGAGATCTCCCCTCTCACCAGCCTCGCGTCCATCGAGTGTTGACGCAGGCGAGCCACGAAACTGGCTGGGATCTGTGGATCTATCGTTGCACGATACATCGTGGAGTCATCCTCTCAGCTTCCCCAGAGCCGCGCCTCCATCGCCCACAACACCTGCGCAACCATCAGCCTTTAGCTTTGAGATCGAGGAGGATGATCCACATGAGCAACAGCAACAATCGACGACGCAAGCAAGATCGTCAGCGCCCTCGGGCCGTGAGAGCAATCATTTGGACCCCATTAGCCCTGTGCAAGTCCGTGGAATGCTTGACGACTCGGTTTGGGGCGAGAGTATTCGTCGCAACGCCACCGTTCGACAAACACAGAGCAGGGGCTCGCAAGGGTATGATGGTTTTCACTGAGGGGCAAGCGGTTGGAGGAGTTGAAGCTGCGGTTGACATGGAACTTGTGAGGAGGAGGGAAGCCGTCCAATTTTGATGGTGAAACAATGCGATCATGCACATCCATCAATGGCAGTTGCATTCAGGAAAAGAACTCATGGCATAATTCAAAACTGAGCACGGCGTTGCAGGGCAATTGATACATGAGCGAAAAGGAAAAGGGGGCAAGGCTACCCCCGGCATCCAGTTTCGGTTGATCAAGATTTAAAATAGACACACATTTTTCATGCACAGAACGTTCAGGTAACAGGACGGCATCAGTGTAGCCCAGTGCGGTGATACGTACGAGCAAGGTTGTGCGAGACTGGAGACCTGACGCTTGTCTGATCAACGGATGCCTGCGACAAAGCACCCTTGTTTCGTAATCCTGGTGACGTTCCAACTCAAAGTAAATTGATGGACAATGCGACTGTTTCAGCTGCTAGTTGTGAGGTTGAAACAATCCGTGCGCCCACATTCCGAGCCCCTGACACATTCTGATGCAAGGACTGTGGTTCTCTTTTCTACACTGCCACTTTCTTTTCTGGGTCTCGTGTCCGTTGTCGAGAGTGAGTTGATGGATAAAGGTTAAGGTGGTGCCTCTCGCGTTTCCTCCTTGTGCTTGCTTTGTCTATCTTTGTGTTACCCAAAGAACCATCGTTCGCTCGCTCGCTCGCTCGTTTCTTGTTGACAAGACAAGACCAAGAGTCTGATAGAAACATTTGACAGGCTGTGCCTCTCTTTTATACTTCTTTAACTCGTTCACTCATTGAAAAATTCGGTTTATCATACGACAACTGCTGGACAAGTTGCTCATTAGCTCTTTCGCTTCAACGACCATCGCGAGCATTTGCACCCACGCCACGCTTATTACGCCAGTACCATATTTCACTATTACGCAACAACACATTCACTCTCGGCTATTCTTACGTACTCTCATACAATGGCTCACACCTCCCGCTTCGAAACTATGACTTCTCGCTTCTCACCCTCACGTCTGCGCAACTCTCTGCGTCGCAGCTCATCAGCCTCCACCTCCACCCAGGCTTCCTACTCATCAGTCAGCACGACAAGCTCGTCCCCTGTTGTTGCCATCAACAGCATCATCTCGCGACAGCCTTCTCTGTTGCATCTAGAGGCTGAACGCAAGAGCTTCGGCAGTGAGTTGAGCCTGCTTGAGCCCAGGCCCATTGTCTACTGGGGCAGCGTGGAGGAGCGCATCGGTTAACGCCTTTATACGCATGCTGCTTTGACATGAGATCTTGCTTTATGGTTTACGCGTTGAAGATTACAATTTCCGGGGATTTAATGTGGTGTTAGGCTTGCCTTTTGGATCTCTGGCAGGCCAAAGTAGGGAATTTTCAAGAGACGGCGTTTGTGTGACTTATATGGTTGTTCTTCAATTCTTGACCGAGTGACGATTCGGTATGGCATCAAAGATGAATGATCTTGCCAAGTTTTAGATCCAGATTCAAATTCAAACACAATCAGACTTTTAGTCCTCCATTGCTGTCTGAGACCCTCTAAGAAAAACCAATCCATTATCATGATCATTACATCTCATACAGTGTCATATCCCCGGGCACGATATCAAACAGGGGTTCGAAACGCCTGTCACGGCCCACAAACACTCCTGAAATACTTTGTGTACAGAATAACAGCGATGCTTGATGGCCAATGTATGATTAGCTCATGCCTCAAGATCCGGGAGATCGCTCCAAGAGACGACGGTGCAAATGGTGCTCTCAATGTGATACACAATGATCGCCGATGAAATCATCAAGCGACATCGCCTCTTTGCCGTTGAAGAGAAAACAAGAAGCCAGATCGATGGAGACACATGTCAGTTGGAGGGAAAATTGTTAGGTGACGGTGCTAAGGTCCTTGTCTGGAGTCAACGGTTGATACCACCCCGCGAAACAGAGAGGGTCTCTAGAACTTGGCGGAGATTCAGGTATCATCCGCCTTCTCTCCACCCTGTCATATTCACGGACCCGTAGGCGGAATAGTATGACTCGCGGTATGAGGCTCGACAAGAGAAGCGACACTGTAATATAGACGACTCGTCAAGAACCAGGCAGCACTCGTAGCCAGAGCCAATGCCACAGCCATGAACATGAACATGGAAGACCGCATCTGAAACGCTTCGTCTGCTTCCATCTTCATGAGCTTCTTCTGCTTGCTGTGATAGTGCCAACGACCATGGGCATCATGATCCCTATGGCCAATGTGTTGGTATGGCTGGAGGAACCATCGGGGTACCCATTTCGCTTGCGAGTTACCGGTACCGTAGAAGTTGTTGCGGCTAGCAGTATGGCGAAAGTCGACCAGGAGGAGTGAGAAGAGGAAGACGGTTATGTTGACAGGCGTCATGATGAGCTAAAACACCTGTGTCAGTGTTATTGCGACGAGCAGAGAATACGACCTTGTTCCTTGATATCATGAGACTTTGAAACAAAGAGAATATAAGACAAGACAAGACCCTTCCAGTCTTCTTTGGCAATGACCACAGATAACGTTGGGGCGGGGAGTAACCTACGGAATAGAGAGTAGAGGGCTGGTTATTACCAGCATTCTCAGGCTGGGGACCAAATTTGGCCATGATGGGAGAATGAATATGGTAGTGTACTATGACGAGTTTTGGGGGATTTCTGACGGTGGATGTGAGTTCAAGTTTATAGCAAACGTATGCCCCAAACACTTCGTTTCTAGGTCGTTGATGGTATTTGATTCATGGGCCCACCTGATCAAGGGAATCAGACTCAGACAAAGAGCTTATGAATTGGTTGTGGCTCACTTACGTAGCCGCCCTAGTGAGGTCATCGCGTGGAGGTTGCTAGCTAATCGATGCCCGCAGGATTCCCGAAGCTCCCGATCACCATCGTCAATCATCATTGTTAAGTAATTATTCCTGTAATTGTTGCGGGGAGGCTCTACTTTGGATCGAGAAAAAGACTTTTTTCTTTTTTTTTTTTTTTTGCCCCCGTCAGTTCAAACCCTGACAAATGAGCTTTTCGTACGGTTCGCATGTCCCATTGGAGCCATATAACATGTTGTCCAGCCTCCAGCAGAATCATCTTCAGTCCTGCTGCCAAGCCACCATCTCAAATCATTCAGCCTCATCGTGATACGACGTATGCGGCGTCGACCATTCCCGCCCAAGCTCCAAGTCTAAGTCCCGGTAGGATTCGGCCAGGCACAATTTCCAATCTTCGCCTCAAGGCGGGAAATGGTTATTCAAGTTTCAATAGGGATATCTCATTACAACGAAGGTGACATGGCGCTTACAAGCAGCCCATACATTACAACCCCCCTCTTTTAGCCTGATACCCAGCCAGCCATTGATTTTCCAGAGCGCCGTTTGCCCATGAATCCCACGCCTACCGGTGCCTATGCATATCAACGCCTTCTTGCCTGACCCCTCATGTGTCCCCTTTCAGCGCGCATTGTGAATGTCGAGGACAAGGATGTCCTGAGCACCAATTCGGGTCAGCTCGTCCATAACCAGAGCAATCTTCTTCTTCTCGACCATGGAGCTGACTGCAACCCAGCCCTCCTCATCCAGGGTGGTAACTGTCGCTGAGCGCTTCCCAGGAGTAACCTTGGTTGCCTCAGCCAGACGGCTTCGCTCGACATTGTATTGGCACAGGACGTAGCTCTTGGCAGTGATAACACCACGGATACGGGAGGTGATGAGGTCGATGAGCTCGGGATTGGATGGCGACTTTGACTTGATGAGCACGGCGGTAGAGTCGACAACAGTGTCAATGGCCTTGAGCCCAGCAGCTCGCATGGTCTCACCAGATTCTAGGCGTTGATCGTTAGTTATGGTCCGTCACAATCGGTGAAGCAGGCCTCGAGTTTTCCACATACCAACAAGGTCGACAATGCCCTCAGCAACGCCAAGAGCACATGCTGCCTCGACACTTCCACTCAACTCAACAATCTTGGTGCGCATCTTGCGAGGCGAAAGCTCTCCCTGTACATTCTCGCCCTGCTCAAGCTTCAGGAAATAGTCGGCAGCCAGGTTGACGAAACTCGTCCCAATCGTCTTTCCAATGAGATCCTCGGGGGTCTTGTACTGGCCCTTCTCGGGGACCTGGACCTGAAGCTTGCAGCTGCCGAAGCCCAATTCCATAACCATATCAGAGCCAGCAACCTTATCATCGGATGACGACAGATCAACAGAGCTGCGTCGCAAGTGATTATAGGCACGGACCGAGGCATCATGCTCCTGGACTTGGTCCCATCCGGTGATACCGAGGTCGCAACGACCCTCGCCAACGAACGTGGGAATGTCGGCGGCGGGGAGGAAGATCAGGGCAATAGGGAGATTCTTGACAAGAGCGATATCGAGACGGTTCTCACGACGGAATTGGACGTCGGCGCCCTCGAGGAGGTTCAGTGTGGCAGCATTGAGACGGCCCTCTATGATGAATGAGCATAAGAATGTGGATTGGAAGGACATGGGACGACTCACTCTTGGGCACAGCAAAAAGAAGACGGCCTTCGAGACTGGAGGGGATTTTGAATCAGCGACCACATAGTGAAGGTGGGATTGAGGGACGATTTTGACGGTGCGAAGGTAGCATCGGGGCGGACCAACCTGTTGACGAGATCCATGGCTGGCTACAGAAGTGCTACAATGCAATTCTTCTTCCCTTGGACTCGGTATAGGTAGTTTGAATTAGGTAAATCACACAGCAAGGTAAGGCAGTCGGGGAATATATTATTGTCTGTGGTGGCTGCTAATGACTCCGACTGCGGGGCTTCAAGACGATGGCGGGGCTTCGTGTGTTTGACTGTGGCACCAGCATGCATCATTTCATACGCTAGGGCATTGTGATTGGGGCTCTGGTCAGGTACCTCATAACCAAATCAGCACTTGCACAGACCGACCATCGGGGGAAAGATGTTGACAGGCCCACCAATTAGGAGCCACGCAGATAACACGGTGCTGAATGGAGTCATACATCCACTGGATGTGGATGTTTTCTGAAGTCCATATCCAATATTGAGCATTTCAAGTTACGAATCGAGGCCTTTGTTTTCAGAATATGCCGAAGCAATGTGTACCCGAAAATGTATTTATTGAAAACATGAGACTTTCAATTGACTTTGCCAATCAAACTTAGCCTGTTGGTAACCGCAATGCCTTTCTGTAATCGCTTCCCAATTGGGCTCTTGTAAACGGTTTGTCGTTACAATTGACCAACAACAAAATGTCTTGTGCACTGGATTTGTACCGTGTATCATGCGGTTGAGACTCCATCCGAAGTTAGACCGGATCGGCAGCAACGAGACGAACAATAGGTGGTCGAGCCGTTATCAGCGAGACACAAGAAATTGTAAGCGTTGAACAAAGCCTTTGATCAAGACATTGCGGGTCCGAGGGCAAGGAATTAATCAAGGTAGTTTCTCCATCTGGTAGAGAGTCTGGAAACAAAGTGAAGCAACCCCAACACGATTGTTTATTACATGGCGATGCAGTCATGTCATTCAGCAAGCAACGTGGCTGGCTGTGGTGCTGACCGAAACAACATTTTCCGAGCAACTTGAATAAGATGGTGTGCTCGCTCAGCATGTGTTACATTAGGTACTGTCTGTGATTGTGGTATCATGTGGCTTGCGTTCATTCATATGCACCTTTGTTTTCCTCGCCTTCGCGGATGTTTGCCGGTCCATTCACCTTGTGTTACACTCTCCTGGAGGTGTGCTACCCAGGTCCTTTTTCCTGTCATGTTTCTTTTTTCCGTCTCTTTGCTGACGCCTACTTGATAAACCCCGATGGCCCAGTCCTTGTCGAGTCTCAGTCAAGGTCTCAGTCAAGGTCTCAACCGCAACAAAGTCTTTGTCCAGTTCAACCCAGCTCACTCAGCCCAGTCCAGAGCTGAGGAGTCGCAGATCTTGGCTTCTCTTGCTCGCCAAGCTGCCTCAGCTACCGGTTGGTTCGGTCCAAGCCCTCTATGATATTTCTGTCTAATTCTCGGGGGCGCCTAGATATGCTATACCATACCTTAACCACTGCGTCGGGATAGAACTGAAATTATCGTGGAGATCAGAGTTCATGAGCTTGGGACGCATTACGGCAATAAGTCCTGGGATAACGGAGCCGAGCCAGGGAATCGAAACCCTTTTAGCGCTCCCGGGCCGCGCCACTTGGGAGCTAAAACTCCAGCTCCATCTCAAACTTTCCATCAATTTACACTTTACCTTCAGCCGGGCTTCTGGGTTCTCCACCTGCCGCCCCCCGCGCGACGTCGACGATCCAGCGCTTAAGGTACCTAACTGACTTTGCTTTGGCTTTGCTTTGCTTTGCTCTGCTTCACTTACATCCTTCCTTCCTACCTTACCTCACTTTGTATCGTCGGCCTCTCCTTTTGGTGGCTTCGCCTCCTGGCGCTTTCTTCTCCCCTCAAGACCGACATCTGGTCTCGTCTTGTTTCGCTTCTCTTCGCTCTTTGGCTCAGGACGAACTCCAAGGGGATTTCCGCGCAACGCAACGCAACAATTGTCGGAGCATATGCTCTTATAGCTCGACCTGTCCGCACAGATTCTCCTCTTCGCTTCGTCCTCCACAGATCATCCATCCTCTACGCATACCTACCTCCCCAACCTTTTTATTCCTTCTTATATTATATCCATACGTAGACTTGCACTCGACACCAACTCTCGATAACCTTATCATTGATCGCAAAACGCAATGAATTCCGCCTATCACCCGCCCGACATGTCGCAGCGAATCCCTGGCCCTGCTTATTCTTCCAGTGCACCACCACCACCACCGATCCATACCTACCAACAACACCAGCATCCTCCTCCGCCTCTACCGCCCCCGACTCAACATCACCACTCGTCCCATCCTCCCCTGCCTCCTCCGCCGTCAGCTCCACATCCTCACCACCAACATCCACCTCCGCCGCCACCTTCCCACTCGCTATCTTCGCATCAACACCATGGCCAACCACCCCACCACCAGCCTCAACTCCCACCATATGCCCCAGCTCCATATCAACAGCCTCAGCCGAGTCAATACCCTCGGCCCCATCCGCACCAGCAACATGTCCCTCCTCCTTCGCAACATGATGATCATCCTCCCCCGCCTTCCTCGCGCCCATCGCCCACCGACCATCAGAAAGATTCCGAACACGCTCCCCCATCCTACTCCAAGATTGAAGAAGGATCAGGCTGGAAGTACAGGTTTGTGGCCAAGGCGGATCCTTCAAACTTCCTTCGCGACCCCGCTGAAACGATTCCATAGTCTCGATGTGAAGCAACAACCCGTGCGTGCGCGCATGTGTGGATTTGGCGATAAGGTCTGTTTCTTTCGTTGCCTGTGAGCCCTGATCATATGTCTCACAGTTCTGATTTAGGATCGTCGCCCAATCACGCCGCCGCCATGTGTTCGTCTTGTCATAATCAATACCGAGACGGGTAAAGAGGTTGACTACAAGTACGTCGATGCAGTCGCGAGACAGAAAAAAAAGGGGCATCTGGGTTTGTGCTAATGCATAATGTGTAGTACCCTAGACCACGCCATGTTTGTGTTATCGGTCGATCTGTGGAATCATGACGGTACCAAAGAAGTCAACCTGGTGCGGT